CCCTGATTTTTTTTTTTTTAACTCTAGTGCACCGTGCAAGGGTGGGCTTGGGGTTTGTTTTGATTCTCATCTTTTGGCTAGTGGTTTTTCTAGGCTGCCTGCCTGGAGCAGGGGGCCTGTGTGTAGCGGGGAGGAGGAGACACCCCTGTCTCCTGCTCGGCCTGGACTCCAGGGGCATAGACGACAGGCAGAAGCTCTCACTGGGGACCTGTGTGTATCTGTCCTCAAGGCTCCTAGCTGATCGCGAGGCCTTTTCTTTTCAGAGGAGATGCCTTACCTGAAATGCCCCCTTCACACCGTCCTGAAACTGACACCTGTCGCTTACGGTGAGTATGGGGACACAGCCCCGGCCAAGATGTCCCCTGGGATGCTGGCTCCTGGTGGCTCTGGGGCTGTCAGCGGCCTGTGCCCTCTAACCGGAAGCCAACCCCTGTCCCCCCCCCCCCCCCCCCAGGTTGCCGCGTAGAGTCCATCTACCTGAATGTGGAGTCTGTGAGCACACACCGGGAGAGGTCAGAGGTGAGTCTAAACGCCCCCTGCCTCCTGCTCCCCAGCATCCCCGTCCTGGCCTCCGTTCCTAGAGGGTCCCTGTCGAGTGACAGGGCCAGGGGGTGTGAGCACTCGAGAGGTCCCGTGTTGAGTTGCCTGCAATTGAACCTGTGTCTTTTAGCGGGTTCTCTCTGGAGTCGTAGCTGGTTTGAGATTGGCCGGCCTTTGTGACCTCCTCCCCTGCTCTTCCTCAGCTACCGTGTGTTCCTATCTCGTGTTTATATGTGGCTGCTTGGCATTTTCTCTTTCTCACTTTGCATGCTTTTTCCCCCCATTTCGACTTAACCCATGACGTGAGTATTAAAGAGGGAGACGCATCCTGCGCTTTCAAGAGTAGGTGTAGCTCAGTTACCGTCGTCTTTTCCTTTGGGGCAGCTGAGATGCCTTCCAGGTTCTAGAGTCACTGGTTCACACGGGATTAGCAAATCCACTCAGTCGTCTGTGTACGCTTCGGTGCAGAATTACCAAGAAGATGGAAATCGTGGAAAGGAGGTGGGAGGGCAGAGACCAGGTGGTTTGGGCAGGAGGGACTCGGGGCATGGCGGGTGGAGGCTTTCTGCAGGAGGCCCCGGCGGTAGAGCAGATTGCTGCCCCGGACGCGGTCGGGAAGGAACGTTGGGTTGACTTTGTACCGAGTGTCAAACAACAGCGTCTGGCCAGCTGACCGTTTCCCTCACACAGAGCGTGGTGTTCCCGTCCGAGCAGGACACCTCTCTGTTTCCCAAGGAGCTCGGTCCGAAGGTCTTGGCCTTAAAATCCCAGCTTCCGCCAGCTTGTCCGGCCGGGTGGCCACAGGGGAAGCGGGTGGGCCAGCCTTGGCCCTGTAACGGCCCCCACTTCTGAACGTGGGTGGTGGGGCCCCACCTTTCTTCCCGGCCTGACTCCACCAGTGGGGCTGGGCCGGAACGGGGCTCCGATGGCCCCCGCACACGCTTGCCTGTGCCTAACTGGGGCAGTGTCGAGGGAGACAGAGCTCTGTGCAGGCCCCTGGGCTAGAGGCTGCAGAGCCACAGGCCTGGGGACACAGGTCCTCGCTCCACTGTGTCGTCACTTGGCGGGAAGGCTCGTGTTTGGGCCTCGCTTGCCTTGCTGCCCACCTCGGGGTTTCTGCACCTCTAGTCCCCTGGCAGGGGTTGAAGCCGGCACTCCTCGTCCCAAGCCGGGGGGGCAGTGATGGGCGGCGGGCGCTGTTCCTTGTCTGCTGTGCAGATCCTGGCTCACGGTCAGCGCAGGGAGTCTGGCACCGACACCTTCTCCTCCCTGCCCTCAGTGGTTGACCTGAGCCTCCCACTCAGGCCTCCCTCCCCCTTCCTTGGCTCTCTTGGAGGCTGGCGGCCGGGTTCTTTTCTCCGACCTCATCATCTGCCGCCTTTGAATGACTGTCTGCAGAGCTGGTCTTGTGTTGTCCCTTCGCCTGCCTTGAATGTGTTGCGCTTGTCCGAGTGGGTGTCTTGGAATGTTCCGGCACAGGGGCTCAGGAGGTCATCCCTTGTTCTTGCAGACTGGGGACGCAGGACAGCATGGCACCCCTGCTGGTCCCCGGGGCCGGTCGCCGCGGTCAGTCTCGTATCTGGGAAATCCAGAAGCAGAGAAACGTTTTTGGTTTGGTTTGGGGTTTTTTTGGCTTATATACTTCCCCACTCCTTGTAACTGTCGCCTTCTCTCTTTTGTCTTTGTCTCGCTTAGGATGCAAAGAAGGGACCTAACCCGCTCATGAGACGCAATAGTGTCACCCCACTAGCCAGCCCCGAGCCCACCAAAAAGCCTCGCATCAACAGCTTTGAGGAGCATGTGGCTTCTCCCTCCGCTGCCCTGCCCAACTGCCTGCCCCCGGAGGTGCCCACGCAGCTGCCTGGACAAGTGCGTTCTCCCCTCTCCTTCCTCACAGTCAGTCTGGGTCGGGAGGAGAGCAGCCGTGGGCAGCGCGTGTGGGCGGTGGACGGGGAGAACGTGGGCACGCCCTCCCACGAGGTCCGTGACACCCTGGGGTCCTTCCTCGCCGACCTGAGCGCGCACACCTCTTTCCTGAGGAGCAGAAAACTGGGCAGAGCAGAAGAAATGGCCGAGTCTGCGTCCCGCTCACATTCCCGAACCCTTTGTTTTCTCAAACGAGATTGAAGACAAAACCCTAGAAGTTTCCATTCAGCTCTGGGCCCTTGGCCATGTGTGGCCTGAGGACGTCTTTTCTGTCCCAGGCCAGTGGCTGAGGACCTTCCTTACGTGCTCCCTTGCATCCGGTCCCCAGTTAGAGAAAAGCGTGTCCCCCTCCAGAGCCGGGTTAGAACCTGGACAGCCAGACTCGCAGGATGGCCTGGGAACAGCCACTTTCTTTCATCACGTAGTTACTTTAGCAGGTAGTAAAAACACCAGTAAGCAAAAACCTAGCTAGATTTTCCTTGTGTCATGTGCTACGGAGATTAAAAGCTGAAGGCTCTTGGCTGTTGGACATTAAGATTTATTTTTTTCAGAAGAGCAGTCTTTTCCTCGGTGACAGCCAAGAATCTTTGCCAACACGCGAGACATAGAAACTCCTGGGCACATATTTGGGGGCCAACTTGAGGCCTCCCCCCCCCACCTCCACTCCCACCCACCACATCTGGGCTCTTAACAGATAACTCATGGGCTGAATTTTGAGTCAGACTTACGAGCTCCCTGCTGAGGCCCACAGACTTATCCTGCATTTCTCCTCAAGCTCATTTGAATTGTGTGGTGTCTGGAATTGGGATGGGGGGGAGAGGGCCGTGCAGCCTCGGAGAGGCCACCGAACCTCTTCAGGCCTCAGTTTTCCCATCTGTGGAATGGGGGCGTGGCACCTACTGCAAGAGGCAGGGCCAGCGAGGTAGTTCGTGCTGAGCGGCCGACACGCTGGTGTCCCCCACAGGCAGTAGCTGTAGGATTTTACTGCGTTTTTCTGTGAAGGCTGAGAACCGAAGTGGTCTGCCTGTGACGCCCAGTTGTGGTGGAGACCGTGGGGTCATAGTTGGAAGTTCAGCGGCTGCTGTCGCAGACACGCGGGGGGCACTGGCCTGGGCCGGGGTTGGATGGTATGTGGGGCCGACCCGGAGGAGGGTCACGGAGGACGCGTGGCTGGGGCTCCCCCGACTTGGACGGGACTGTCCTTTTGAGGTGGCCAGGCCAAATCCCCGGGACGTCTGGAAGCCGTTGGGTGGGCCAGGCCGGGAGGCCGGACAGGGCTTCGTGTCCCCACAGAGGATGCCTTGGTTTCGAATGACTCGGGGCCTGTACCCTGTCCTCTACTGACTTCTCTCTCTCCGCTTTTTCTCTCTGCAGCCTTTGCTAGGGAAAGCCTGTTTGTAAGTATTTTTCTCTGAATCGTTTTGCCACTCGCCCCTCTTTCTCCTTGCTTGCGGGTTTGGCCTTTTGCCTGTGAAAATGCTGCGGGTGATGACGGGTTTTGTCATATCTGATAGAGAAGGATGGGCATGGGGGCGGAGGGAGGGAGGATTCATGAACTTCTAGAAAAGGAGACAAGAAGCCACACGGCCCAGCTGCCTTCAGCGCGTCTGGCTGCCGGCACTTGCCGCACACGGCTGGCTTCTCGCACGCCCCTCGGGGTCCCGGTTACCAGTGCTCGCGGTGGCCCGTGGCTTGACAGAAGTCTGCTTTTTCCTTCAGAGTCAGATTTCCGTGCCAGGCTGGGTCTTATGCCCCTTGCATTGTCTTTTAAGTTCTGTGCCTCCCCTTGGAGAGGCCTTGCGCGTTAGAAGGCAAAATCTGCAAAACAAACGGAGGACAGATTCTTGGTGGGAGTGTGGTGGGGGCTGCAGCCCTGAAGCGCCCCCCCCCCCTTCTGTCCTCGTAGAGGCTCCCGGACCCTGACACCCTGGGAAACCGTAGTTCTGGGTCCGGTTGTCCTGTACCAGTACGTGCTTAGCCTTAACGGTCACGTTCAGGGTCAGGTGCAGCGTTCCGGTCAGACCCTTGGTTTCCCCTCTCCTTCAGCTGGAGCTCTCCCTGCAGGAAGTTTCTGGTTAAGGGTCCGCCGGAGCGCCTGCTGGATAATTCAGTGTCTCCGCTGTTCCAGTGCGCCTCACCCCAGCCCCTCAGGTCACACCTGCCCGTCCTCCCTTTTGCTGATTAAGTTCTTTTCGCCACTTGATGCAAAAACTGAGCTGGCTTGAGGAGTCCAGCCTGTCAGCTTCAAAGCGGGGCTTGTTCTTGGAAAATAGTAGCGGAGCATGGTGCTTCGATTCCGTGGCACCGCCTGCGGGGAAATCTATTTTGGGATACTGGACAGCTCACGGCGAAAGTGCTTGCTCACGTGTGTTCCGTGCCTTTGGGCCTTAAAATAAGCCCAGGAGGTCTGCAGGGCAGTTCTGTCCCTTTTACCAGATGACTGAGGGGGAGGCACCTGCCTACGGCCGGCCAGCCGGTCAGTAGCAGAACCAGGACTTGAACGGGTCTCCTGGTCCTGAAGGCTGACTGCTTTCTCTCTGCTGGTTTCTGGGAACGGTCAAGGGACTGCTCACCTACCCCTGTCCCGGGCAGCTGTGAGGCACCGGGCCGAGCTGTTGGGTTTCCTTTCTAGCCCTTGCAGGGTCCCCATGCAGCCGCCCTCCACGGCTGGGTGTGTAACTGTCCGTTAAATTCAGTCTTAAAGACGAACCGCCCCATGTCTGGTACCTCCTTGAAGTCAGGCGTAGAACACGGAGTGCGTCTAGATCAAGAGTTCCCCTTGGTGAAAACGGGCCTTTGGATTTGGAGCCTTCCGCTTTTGCCTCTGTGCATATTCTGTTCTTTTTGGGCCGTGGCCTGATGTTGCCAGGAAAGAGCTCTTCCTGCTGGGAGGGTCCTCTCAGGCACATCCCCCCACCTTCCGAGGTTGACCTTGCCCGTCTCTGTGGCTAATAGTGCTTCCAGCTAGAATGCCTCCAGTTCAGCAGAAGTGTCTCCTCTGGACCCGCCACGCCACTCTGGGGTCCCAGCATCCAGCCCAGCCTGGGAGCGTGGGCCCGTGTCTGGGATTGCAGACTCCACAACTTACCGCTAAAATCGAACTGAGCCGGGCTTGGATCTCGGTTTTACTACCTTCCCTCTTTAGAATTCCGGGCGAGGTGACGCAATTCTGGCACATCTACTTCCTTGTCCGTAAGGTGGAGGCGGTGACACGTTGAGGTGTTTTTGATCAGGAGAGTATACACGTAGCATTTAGCAGAGTGCCCGGTGCGTACTCAGGGTCCAGCGGAGCATAGTCGTTATCGTGGGGAAGGTAGTGCCCTGCACTTTGGGGGGATGCCCGAAGCCCCTGGGCTTGCACTTGCTCTGTATTTTGATGCCCCCCCCCCCCC